CCCCCCCCTAATTTTCTATTTGTCATTTTATTATTTCTTATTTTTTTTTTCTCTATTCTATTATTTTATATGTGGTCTCTAGCAAGAACACTCAAAAAGGAGACTCCAAAACTTTAAAATTATATAAATAAGCATTTCTCTTAATCTTAAATTTATGAGTTTTCTTTTTTCAAATCCGAAAAACTTGGGTTTTAATGGGAATTTTGGATTGAGATTTAAAAAAGTCATCTTTTTTATTATATCATAAAAAATTGAGTTATTCTATGGTTATTAAATATAATTTAAATCTCTTTACTATTAAATTATGATGAAATTTTCGTAAGCATTGCTTAAAAGAATATGAGATTTATGATATTGATTTTTGGGTACTTCTAGTTAATTTAATTTTATACTTATGAGGTATAATATATCTATTGAAGATATTTTTTAAAATTTTCTTATTCTGATTTATGTAATTCCCTGAAGATGTTATCTTACTTGTGTAAATTTATTTTTAATATAAAGAAAAAGACGTAATTTTCTAGTAAAAATGTTAATTTACTTGTGTTGTTACAATAAAGGTGTGATTCCTTATTTTAAATGCTAATTTTTTTTTATATCCGTGATGTAATTTTTATATTTACAAATAAAAAATACTTATTAGGTTGACCCGAATAAACTCAAAAAAATTAAATAAACGTTTCTAACAAATTCCGTATTAGTCATTACAAGGTGTACACTAAAGAAAATTATGGCACCCGTCACCTTCAAATCCAAAATCCGCCTCTGGAATCTGTGAAGACTAGTATATACACAGATCTTACCCTTACCCGATAAAGATAAAAAAATATTTCCGATAGACTATTGGCTCGATACTATATATCTTGAAGGTCGATTAGGTAGTATAATTAGTGAATGTTTGGTTTGTAAATAAGTCATTTTAATTAGCTGAGAGTTAAGACCTCAATATAAAAGAAAGATCCGTTGTTGAACTATTTGGTTGTTTATATCCTTGTTTATTGATCCGAATATGTGAGTTGTTTAACAATATGTCATTGCTATGTCTCATGCTAGCATTGACTGATCAAGTTAATTATATTATCAAGACACATATTATATTTTTTGATTTCCTACTCGTTATCGATAGTCAGAGCCTCAATTAATTTGAATTAATCTGAATTCGCACAGTGTAAGATCCATTAAAGGGAAAGCACTTCCTATACCAGGATTAATTATGAATTTCTCAAATTTATTTTAATAAATTAATTTCTCAAATTTATTTTAATGTTTTGAAGTATTAATTATATTAACTTGTGTACTAAAGATTCTCGAATTTACACCGAAAATTAAATGTTTGGACCTTCACTCTGAATTCCTTTTTTTCTGCATGTCTGAATACTCGGTCAGTGCTATAGCATGAACATGGATGTCGACAAACTACCAACTATAGAATTTATCGTTAACTTACAATGAGGATTCTACAAAAACAACCAAACATTAATGAAGATCAAACAAAAAGAGAAAACATCCCTTGAAATTTAGTATAATTGCAATCTCTTGCAAATACTAGCAAGAAACCAATTTCACAGATTTATTCCTCTGTAAAACCATTTTCTTTCATCTATAGTATTTTATGTTGGGATAATTCCACCCAAAGATAGTCTTAGAATGATGTAATACTATTCGCTTTGAGCCAAGCCTACATAATTCTTCAACCAGCTTCACCCCATTAAAATTATCCCTATACTTTATGTGTAATTTTTGTTTTTGTATCAACTTCCAATATGGGATTTTCCTTGCAGACTCAATAGTCTTTCCGTCAGAGGCGAGTTCAAGAATTGAAGTTTATGGGTTCCCACAACGATCTTAAGTTAATATACAATATAACCAAATAAACGGACTGCAGTTTACGCTAAAAATTCTTAAATATTTAATGAATTTCTTAATATAAAACACAGAGTTTGGATAAAAGTTATTGAATTCAAGTGAGCTCATACCTAATAATATAGATCCGCCCCTGGTTCTCCCACATGGCTCATTTCCGGAATCTATAGATTCATTAGATTCACTATATGACTTCCACAACATCCGAGTATTGATGGAAACCAAAGCCCACATATTTTTTGCGTGCATCTCCAAATTACGCGTAAAGGTAGTAAATCAGCTCGCAAATGGGTAAAAGCAGTAAGTCAGGCCCGTTCCCCGCAATTACTCTACTATTTCGATACTCGTATGAACGAATTATTGGTAATATCCTTTAACTTGGTATGATATAGTATTCTTTAGGCCAAGCTAGCAAGATCATCCTCTAAAAAGACTCAGGCCATTAAGAGTAACTCTATAACTTATTATATGTAACTTATTTTTCTTATTAATTTCTATATGGGATTTTGGTGGCATACCCAACATGTTGCAATAACAACAAAACAAAAACAAAAAACAATTATTCAAAATCTGCAAAGACCAGGTCTTTAATTTCTTGACTCTGATCAACTGCAATCTTGGGAGTTTATTGAAATACCCAAAGAATTATTTAGGCACAAGTACAAAATTCAACAAATGCTATATAGAATAAATTTTAAACTAGATAGAGAACGGTGTAGGATGATTTTTTATTCACTTATAAACTCTTGAATCTCTCTACATCGTTTTCTCATAGCTGCCTCTCCATATTACAACCAATAAGTAGTAACACCCCCTATTTATAATACTACAAAACCTAATTGACTAGACTAAGAAACCTATTCCACTATGGTTTAATTTTCGTAAACAAAACCAAACTAGACATGAATTAAGTAAACTAACAAATACTATATACTGATCAATTTGTTTGTTGGAATGGTAAGCTCTTAGGACTTTTTACAATGAGCAATAGCAGCCTCAATTGAACCCATCTCTGAAGTGAAACTGCTGCTTCTCTTTAGTAAATTCAACTCACAAAAGCCATTATTGGAGTTGAAAAAACAATTAGATGATGAGAAAGAAGTAGAACCACCAGATGAGGAATTAGTTGAAGAGGAAGACAAACATTTTGCTGGATATTGCCCCTTGAATTTTGCTGCTGAGAATGACCTGCTATGATTATTACTACTAACATTATCCACTGCTCTTTCCTTGTCAATATTCTTTATTATACTGGCTAGTGTTGGACTTGCGCATCTTCTATTATTTTTCAATGGGATTTTCTTGGACATCTTGATCATATCATTACCATTTGAAATTTGCTGATCATTCTCATATGTAGAAGCAGATTTACAAAACAAAGATTTGAGATATGTCTTTGAAGCCTTAATCTTTTGGCTAAGTGAAGATTGTTTAATGAGCTTGAGCGTCTTTGACAACTCTTTCTTAGGACTATTAATGAGTTGATCAGTGGACAACTCAAAGTAGTGATCATTTGGATTAAGTTCCAAACTCACCCTACAAGATCCTGAGGGTGTGATTAACAAGTTTATGCTAAACCATTCTTCTTCTTCAAAGGAATATTTTGAGTTGGGAAGTATTTTTTGGTTAAGAGGAAGGAGTTTGCCTTTGTAGAAGAGTTCATCTGCTGAGGAAGTTGTGGTTTTTTTGTCGTTTGTAATGGAGGCCATTTGAAACTCAAATTTCCTATTTTGAGGGGAAGAAACTATAGAAGAACATGAAAAGTAAGAGAAATTAGAGTTCACTTCAATGTCTATGTAATCTTCAGATGGAGGAGGATTCGTGGCCATTTTACTCTTGAGTCTATTTTTTGTATGTATCTCTATATGTGTCTTTTTAAAGATATATGGTTATGGGAAGATGAGTTTGATGAAATGTAAAGGAGGAGAGAAGAGCAGATAATTTGAAGTAAAGATCGTCCAAGAGAGGATCAATATATATATATATATATA